TTTACAGTTTAAGTGTATAAAAGACACAAACTGTGTCGTTTTTGTCAAGCCTGCGACTTTTGTCCGTAAAGCTCGACATAGGGATAGTGATCCGGCGGCTTTATATATTTTAGAAGCTAGAAGACCTGGATGCTTCATACTTTGTATATAGAGGCCTTATGTTACGAAGTTTCCATCTGTCATATGTCCATTGTCCTTGACCTCATTTTCATGGTTCAGTGACTACTTGAAAAAAAAGTCAACATTTTTTGTAATGTTAATTTCTTTCTAATTATGAGTTATAGGATAACTATATTTAGTATGTGCGTACCTTGCAAGGTCCTCATGCCTGTCAGACAATTTTCATTTGACCTCGACCTCATTTCATGGATCAGTGAACAAGGTTAAGTTTTCGTGGTCAAGTCCATATATCAGATACTATAAGCGGTAGGTCTACAAATTTGGTATATGGAATGATTGTAAGGTGTACATGTCCAACTGGTAGGTGTCATCTGACCTTGACCTCATTTTCATGGTTCAGTGGTCAAAGTTAAGTTTTTTAGTTTTGGTCTTTTTTTTCTAATACTATATGCAATAGGTCAACTTGTATGGTGTATGGAAATATTTTATGATGTACATGTCAGTCTCACAGGTTTTATTTTACCTTGACCTCATTTTCACGGTTCATTTCTCAGTGTTAAGTTTTTGTGTTTTGGTCTGTTTTTCTTCAACTATAAGCAATAGATCAACTATATTTGATGTATGGAAGGATTGTAAGGTGTATATGTCTGTCTGGCAGGTATCATCTGACCGTGACCTCATGTTCATGGTTCATTGGTCAATGTTAAGTTTTCATGGTTAAGTTTTTTTCTTAGATACTATAAGCAATAGGTCAACTATATTTAATGCCTAATTTGATTGTAAGGTGTACATGTCTGTCTGGCATGGTTCATCTGACCTTGACCTCATTTTCATGGTTCATTGGTCAATGTTAAGTTTTCTTGTTTTGAAGACTGTTTCTTAGAAACAATAAGCAATAGGTCAACTATGTTTGGTTTATTGGATGATTGTAAGGTGTACATGTATTTCTCGTTTGGTTTATCTGACCTTTACCTCATTTTCTTGGATCATGTAAAGTTTATGTGTTTCTTGTAATAAAGCTTTGTATTTAGGACTATCAATATAAAATCAATGGTTAGTAAAGAAGGCGAGACATTTCAGCGTGTGCACTCTTGTTCAACCATAACTTCAGATTTTCGTACATAAACCACTCTGGAGATTTTTTTAAACGATGCACCAATGTCTCGTCTACAACACCTATATATATAGTCGTTGTCCGTCACAATCTCTTTAAAATGGTATAAAATTTACTTATAGTGCCCTACCCCCTAATCTCATTTTGTCAATTTCACAATTTCAGTTTTTTAACCGTAACTTCAGATTTTCGAAAGTAAACCACTCTGGAGATTTTCCTAAACGATGCGCCATATGTCTCCTCTACAACACCTACATAGTCGTTGCCCGTCACAATCTCTCCAAATTGGTCCAAAATTAACTCAAATTGGTCCAGAATTAACTTAAATTGACCTACCCCCTAATCTTATTTTGTCAATTTCACAATTTCAGTTTTGTAACCGAACTTAAGACTTTCGAACATAAATCACTCTGGAGATTTTCTTAAACGATGCGCCAATGTCTCCTCTACAACACCTATATAGTCGTTGTCCGTCACAATCTTTTAAAATTGGTATAAAATTATTAAAAAATTGCCCTACCCCCTAATCTCATTTTGTTAATTTCACAATTTCAGTTTTTTAACCGTAACTTCAGATTTTCGAACATAAACCACTGGAGATTTTCTTTAACGATGCGCCAATTACTCCTCTACAACACCTATATAGTCGTTGTCCGTCACAATCTCTTTAAAGTGGTCCAAAATTATTTAAAATTGCCCAACCCCTAACCTCATTTTGTCAATTTCACAATTTCAGTTTTTTAACCGTAACTTCAGATTTTCGAACATAAACCACTCTGGAGATTTTCCTAAACGATGTGCTAATGTCTCCTCTACAACACCGATATAGTTGTTGTCCGTCACAATCTCTTTAAAATGGTCCAAAATTTAATTTTAGTGCCCTACCCGCCCCCCCCCCCCCCCCCCTAGACTAATTTTGTCAATTTCACCATTACAGCTTTTTAACCGTAACTTCAGATTTTCGAACAAAAATCAATCTGGAGATTTTCCTAAACGATGCGCCAATGTCTCCTCTACAACACCTATATTGTCGTTGCCCGTCACAATCTCTTCAAATTGGTCTAAAATTAACTTAAATTGGCCTACCCCCCTAATCTTATTTTGTCAATTTCACAATTTCAGTTTTTTAACCGTAGCTTTAGATAATCGAAAGTAAACCAATCTGGAGATTTTCTTATACGATGCGCTAGTGTCTCCTCTACAACACCTATATAGTCGTTGCCCGTCACAATCTCTTCAAATTAGTCCAAAATTAACTTAAATTGGCCTACCCCCTACTCATTTAGTCAATTTCACAATTTCAATTTTTTAACCGTAACTTCAGATTTTCGAACATAAACCACTCTGCAGATTTTCCTAAACGATGTGCTAATGTCTCCTCTACAACACCTATATAGTTGTTGTCCGTCACAATCTCTTTAAAATGGTTCAAAATTTTCTTTTAGTGCCCTACCCCCCCATTTTCGAACATAAACCACTGGCCCCCCAAGGGTGACTGGGGAATAGAAGTATGGTCACCATTGGTCTTCCTCCGACCGGCAGTAAAACCCGTGCTAAAGTGGGGCGTCCGTTTGGCTGTGCGGGATGTACAAATATGCAGCCACGTCCGGTCAGAATGGGGACGTTAAATCCGATGCCTCTTGTAAAGAGAGTGCCACGCTCTTTGCACGTTAAGAACCCTTGCGACAACTCTTTGAGGGGTCCGTAGGTGACCTGTTGCAAGGCTAAATTTCTGTCCCTATCCAATATACCCTCATTTCCCGTGGCAGTCTAAATTTCTCCGACCTTAATCCCTTAATCTATTACAGAACCTACCTATTGTATTTATTGTGAACTTGTTCTCGTCCTGAATATGCATGAAATATTTGCCACTGGACGTTAAGCAACCAACAATCAATCAATCATAAACCACTGGAGATTTTCTTAAACGATGCGCCAATTACTCCTCTACAACACCTATATAGTCGTTGTCCGTCACAATCTCTTTAAAGTGGTCCAAAATTATTTAAAATTGCCCAACCCCTAACCTCATTTTGTCAATTTCACAATTTCAGTTTTTTAACCGTAACTTCAGATTTTCGAACATAAACCACTCTGGAGATTTTCCTAAACGATGCGCCAATGTCTCCTCTACAACGCCTACATAGTTGTTGCCCGTCACAATCTCTTCAAATTGGTCCAAAATAAACTTAAATTGGCCTACCCCCTCATCTTATTTTGTCAATTTCACAATTTTAGTTTTTAACCATAACTTCAGACTTTCTTAAACAATGTGCTAATGTCTCCTTTACAACACCTATATAGTCGTTGTCCGTCACAATCTCTTTACAATGGTCCAAAATTTTCTTTTAGTGCCCTACCCCCCTAGTCTCATTTTGTCAATTTCACAATTACAGTTTTTTAACCGTAACTTCAGATTTTCGAACATAAACCAATCTGGAGATTTTCCTAAACGATGCGCCAATGTCTTTTCTACAACACTTATATTGTCGTTGCCCGTCACAATCGCTTGAAATTGGTCCAAAATTAACTTAAATTGACCTGCTCCCCTAATCTCATTTTGTCAATTTCACAATTTAAATTTTAACCGTAACTTCAGATTTTCGAACATAAACCACTCTGGAGATTTTCCTAAACGATGCGCTAATGTCTCCTCTACAACACCTATATAGTCGTTTCCCGTCACTATCTCTCCAAATTGGTCCAAAATTTAATTTTAGTGCCCTACCCCCCTAATCTCATTTTGTCAATTTCACAATTTCAGTTTTTTAACCGTAACTTCAGATTTTCGAACATAAATCACTCTGGTGATTTCCTTAAACGATGCGCCAATGTCTCCTCTACAACACCTATATAGTCGTTATCCGTCACATTCTTTTTGAATTAGTAAAAATTATTTAAAACTGCCCTACCCCCTAATCTCATTTTGTCAATTTCACAATTTCAATTTTTTAACCGTAACTTCAGATTTTCAAACATAAACCACTCTGGAGATTTTCTTAAAAGATGCGCCAATGTCTCATCTACAACACCTATATAGTCGTTGTCCGTCACAATCTCTTTAAATTGGTCCAAAATTATTTAAAATTGCCCAACCCCTAACCTCATTTTGTCAATTTCACAATTTCAGTTTTTTAACCGTAACTTCAGATTTTCAAACATAAACCACTCTGGAGATTTTCCTGAACGATGCGCTAATGTCTCCTCTACAACACCTATATAGTCGTTGTCCGTCACAATCTCTTAAAATTGGTCCAAAATTTTCTTTTAGTGCCCTACCCCCCTAGTCTCATTTTGTCAATTTCACAATTACAGCTTTTTAACCGTAACTTCAGATTTTCGAACATAAACCAATCTAGATTCCAAAACGATGCGCCAATGTCTCCTCTACAACACCTATATTGTCGTTGCCCGTCACAATCTCTTGAAATTGGTCCAAAATTAACTTAGATTGACCTACCCCCCTAATCTCATTTTGTCAATTTCATAATTTCAATTTTAACCGTAACTTCAGATTTTCGAACATAAACCACTCTGGAGATTTTCCTAAACGATGCGCTAATGTCTCCTCTACAACACCTATATAGTCGTTGTCCGTCACAATCTCTTTAAATTGGTCCAAAATTATTTAAAATTGCCCAACCCTAACCTCATTTTGTCAATTTCACAATTTCAGTTTTTTAACCGTAACTTCAGATTTTCGAACATAAACCACTCTGGAGATTTTCCTAAACGATGCGCTAATGTCTCCTACAACACCTATAAAGTCATTGTCCGTCACAATCTTTTTAAAATGGTCCAAAATTTTCTTTTAGTGCCCTACCCCCTAGTCTCATTTTGTCAATTTCACAATTTCAGTTTTTTAACCGTAACTTCAGATTTTCGAACATAAATCACTCTGGAGATTTTGTTAAACGATGCGCCAATGTCTCCTCTACAACACCTATATAGTCGTTGTCCGTCACAATCTTTTTAAATTGGTATAAAATTATTTAAAATTGTCCTACCCCCTAATCTCATTTTGTCAATTTCACAATTTCAGTTTTTTAACCGTAGCTTCAGATTTTCGAAAATAAACCAATCTGCAGATTTTCTTAAACGATGCGCCAATGTCTCCTCTACAACACCTATGTAGTTGTTGACCGTCACGATCTCTTAAAATTCGTCCAAAATTAACTTGAATTGGCCTACCCCCCCTACTCTCATTTAGTCAACTTCACAATTTCAGTTTTTTAACCTGTAACTTCAGATTTTCGAACATGAACCACTCTGGAGATTTTCCTAAACGATTCGCTACTGTCTGTTCTACAACACCTATATAGTCGTTGCCCGTCACAATCTCTTTAAATTGGTCCAAAATTAACTTAAATTGGCCTACCCACCTAATCTTATTTTTTCAATTTCACAATTTCAGTTTTTTAACCGTAACTTCAGATTTTCGAACATAAACCACTCTGCAGATTTTCTTAAACGATGCGCTACTGTCTGCTTTACAACACCTATATATTCGTTGTCCGTCACAATCTCTTTAAAATGGTCCAAAATTTTCTTTTAGTGCCCTACCCCCCCTAGTCTCATTTTGTCAATTTCACAATTACAGTTTTTTATCATAACTTCAGATTTTCGAACATAAACCACTCTAGAGATTTTCTTAAACGATGCGCCAATGTCTCCTCTACAACACCTCATAGTCGTTGTCCGTCACAATCTCTTTTAATTGGTTCAAAATTATTCAAAATTGCCCTACCCCCTAATCTCATTTTGTCAATTTGACAATTTCAGTTTTTTACCCGTAACTTCAGATTTTCAAACATAAACCACTCTGGAGATTTTCTTAAACGATGCGCCAATGTCTCATCTAAAACACCTATATAGTCGTTGTCCGTCACAATCTCTTTAAATTGGTCCAAAATTATTTAAAATTGCCCAACCCCTAACCTCATTTTGTCAATTTCACAATTTCAGTTGTTTAACCGTGACTTCAGATTTTCGAAGATAAACCACTCTGGAGATTTTCCTAAACGATGCGCTAATGTCTCCTCTACAACACCTATATAGTCGTTGTCCGTCACAATCTCTTTAAAATGGTCCAAAATTTTCTTTAAGTGCCCTACCCCCCCTAGTCTCATTTTGTCAATTTCACAATTACAGTTTTTGTCGAGCCTGCGACTTTTGTCGCAGAAAGCTCGACATAGGGATAGTGATCCGGCGGCGTCGGCGTTAGCTAACTTCTTAAAAGCTTTATATTTTAGAAGGTAGAAGATCTGGATGCTTCATACTTTGTATATGGATGCCTCATGTTACGAAGTTTCCGTCAGTCACATGTCCAATGTCCTTGACCTCATTTTCATGGTTCAGTGACTACTTGGAAAAAAAGTTAAGATTTTTTGTAATGTTAAATTTTCTCTTATTATAAGTAATAGGATAACTATATTTGGTATGTGCGTACCTTGCAAGGTCCTCATGCCCGTCAGACAGTTTTCACTTGACCTCGACCTCATTTCATGGATCAGTGAACAAGGCTAAGCAATAGGTCTAGTATATTCGGTGTATGGAAGGACTGTAAGGTGTACATGTCCAACTGGCAGGTGTCATCTGACCTTGACCTCATTTTCATGGTTCAGTGGTTATAGTTAAGTTTTTATACGACCGCAAAAAAATTTTGTGGTCGTATATTGGTATGACGTTGGCGTCGTCGTCGTCGTCGTCGTCGTCGTCGTCGTCCGAAGACACATTGGTTTTCGCACTCTAACTTTAGTTTAAGTGAATGGATCTTTTTGAAATTTGACTATAAGGTTAAATACCACAAAAGGAAGGTTGGGATTGATTTTGGGGGTTATGGTACCAACAGTTAAGGAAAAAGGGGCCAAAAATAATCATTTTCTAGTTTCCAGACAATAACTGTGGAACGGTGTATGGATCTCTCTGAAATTATACTACAAGTTTCCATACCACAAAGGGATGGTTTGGATTTGCTTTGGGGCTTTATGGCTCAAACCGTTTAGGAATTAGGGGCAAAAAGGGGGGAAAAACAAGGTTGTCCTGGTTAATGGACAAATACTTTAGTACAAAACATAATTTAAAGCAGTGTAAGGGAGATAAATCAAATTCATCATTGAAATTATCTCCCTTACACTGCTTTTAAATTATGTATAAAGTAATGGTTAATGAACAATAAAGATAATTTAAAACAGTGTAAGGGAGGTAATCCAAATACAACGTTTTGGTTACTTCCCTTACACTGCTTTTAAATTATGTTTAAAGAAATGCATATTTATAAAGGAAGACCAGTAAAAATATCTGCAAATGTTGCATCTTTTTTTTTTACAAAAAAATCCATATGAAAGATTTGACACTATATTTTTAATTCTATTTTAAAATAGATTAAGTTAGCACTATGGTAAATTTAAATGGGTAATTATGGTTGCCAACTCCATTGGAAATTTGAATTGAGATTATGACCATATCTTGAGGGAAAGAATTTTTTTGGGGAAAAAGGGGGGGGGATAAAAAGAAATTGTGGGGGGGGGGGGGTCAATTTTTTCTCATTTCAGATTTCAGAAATTAAAAAGAATTATTCTTCAAATATTATTTTTTTTTTCAAATTTCAAATATTGAAAAATTTAAAGAAGTAATCTTTAATTGCTCAGTATGGCGCATTAGATTTGTAAAATCTTTGATCACATTTATTTATTTGTTATGCCGAATCTAACAGTGTATTTAGATTTTTAATTTTGGGTCCAGTTTTCAAATTGGTCTACATTAAGGTCCAAAGGGTCCAAAATTAAACTTTGTTTGATTTTAGCAAAAATTGAATATATGAGGTTCTTTGATATGCTGAATCTAAACATGTATTTAGATTTTTGATTTTTGGCCCAGTTTTCAAGTTGGTCCAAATTGGGGTCCAAAATTAAACTTTGTTTGATTTCAACAAAAATTGAATATATGGGGTTCTTTGATATGCTGAATCTAACCATGTATTTAGATTTTTTATTTGTGGACCCCGTTATCAAATTGGTTCATATTGAGGTCAAAAGGGTCCAAAATTAAACTTTGTTTGATTTCATCTAAAATTGAATTATTGGGGTTCTTTGATATTCCAAATCTAACCGTGTATTTAGATTTTTAATTTTGGGTCCTGTTTTTTAAATTGGTCTACATTAAGGTCCAAAGGGTCCAAAATTAAACTTAGTTTGATTTTAGCAAAAATTGAATTCTTGGGGTTCTTTGATATGCTGAATCTAAACATGTGTTTAGATTTTTTATTATGGGCCCAGTTTTCAAGTTGGTCCAAATTGGGGTCCAAAATTAAACTTTGTTTGATTTTAACAAAAATTGAATATATGGGGTTCTTTGATATGCTGAATCTAACCATGTATTTTGATTTTGGACATTGGACCATAATAGGTAAATTAAAAAAATTCAAGTTCTTAGACCACATTCTTTCTGTGTCAGAAACCTATGCTGTGTCAAATATTTAATAACAATCCAAATTCAGAGCTGTATCAAGCTTGAATGTTGTGTCCATACTTGCCCCAACTGTTCAGGGTTCGACCTCTGCAGTCGTATCAAGCTGCGCCCCAGCGAAGCATTTTATTGTGTTTTGGTATGTTTTTCTTATACTGTATGCAATAGGTCTACTATATTTGGTGTATGGAATGATTGTAAGGTGTACATGTCCAACTGGCAGGTGTCATCTGACCTTGACCTCAGTTTCATGGTTCAGTGGTTATAGTTAAGTTTTTGTGTTTTGGTCTGTTTTTCTTATACTGTATGCAATAGGTCTACTTTATTTGGTGTATGGAATGATTGTAAGGTGTACATGTCTAGCTGGCAGGTGTCATCTGACCTTGACCTCATTTTCATGGTTCAGTGGTCAAAGTTAAGTTTTTGAGTTTTGGTCTTTTTTTCTAATACCATATATGCAATAGTTCAACTATATTTGGTGTATGGAAATATTTTATGATCTATATGTCAGTCACGCAGGTTTTATTTGACCTTGACCTCATTTTCAAGGTTCATTGCTCAGTGTTAAGTTTTTGTGTTTTGGTCTGTTTTTCTTAAACTATTCGCAATAGGTCAACTATATTTGTTGTATGGAAGATTTGTTAGCTGTACATGCCTGCCTTGCATGGTTTATCTGACCTTGACCTCATTTTCATGGTTCATTGGTCAATGTTTAGTTTACTTGGTTAATGTTAAGTTTATGTGGCAGTTGTAATAAAGCTTTATATTTAGGACTATCAACATAATATCAATGATTAGTAAAGAAGGCGAGACATTTCAGTGTGTGCACTCTTGTTTAACCGTAACTTCAGATTTTCGAACATAAACCAATCTGGAGATTTTCCTAAACGATGCGCCAATGTCTCCTCTACAACACCTATATTGTCGTTGCTCTTCACAATCTCTTGAAATTGGTCTAAAATTAACTTAAATTGACCTACCCCCCTAATCTCATTTTGTCAATTTCACAATTTCAATTTTAACCGTAACTTCAGATTTTCGAACATAAACCACTCTGGAAATTTTCCTAAACGATGCGCTAATATATCTTCTACAACACCTATATAGTCGTTGCCCGTCACAATCTCTTCAAAATTTACTTTTAGTGCCCTACCCCCCTAGTCTCAATTTGTCAATTTCACAATTTCAGTTTTTTAACCGTAACTTCAGATTTTCGAACATAAATCACTCTGGAGATTTTCTGAAACGATGCGCCAATGTCTCCTCTACAACACCTATATAGTCGTTGTCCGTCACAATCCCTTTAAATTGGTCCAAAATTATTTAAAATTGCTCTACCCCCTAATCTCATTTTGTCAATTTCACAATTTCAGTTTTTTAACCGTATTTTCAGATTTTCGAAAATAAACCAATCTGCAGATTTTCTTAAACGATGCGCCAATGTCTCCTCTACAACACCTATATAGTCGTTGTCCGTCACCATCTCTTTAAAAGGATCCAAAATTTACTTTTAGTGTCCTACCCCCTAATCTCATTTAGTCAACTTCACAATTTCAGTTTTTTAACCGTAACTTCAGATTTTCGAACATGAACCACTCTGGAGATTTTCCTAAACGATGCGCTACTGTCTGCTCTACAACACATATATAGTCGTTGCCCGTCACAATCTCTTTAAATTGGTCCAAAATTTTCTTTTAGTGCCCTACCCCCCTAGTCTCATTTTGTCAATTTCACAATTTCAGTTTTTAACTGTAACTTCAGATTTTCGAACATAAACCACTCTAGAGATTTTCCTTAACGATGCGCCAATGTCTCCTCTACAACACCTACATAGTCGTTGTCCGTTACAATCTCTTCAAATTGGACCAAAATTAACTTAAATTGGCCTACCCCCCTAACCTTATTTTGTCAATTTCACAATTTCAGTTTTTTAACCGTAACTTCAGATTTTCGAACATAAACCACTCTGCAGATTTTCCTAAACGATGCGCTACTGTCTGCTCTACAACACATATTTAGTCGTCGGTGTCCGTCACAATCTCTTTAAAATGGTCCAAAATTTTCTTTTAGTGCCCTACCCCCTAGTCTCATTTTGTCAATTTCACAATTACAGTTTTTTTACCATAACTTCAGATTTTCGAACATAAACCACTCTAGAGATTTTCTTAAACGATGCACCAATGTCTCCTATACACCACCTCATAGTCGTTGTCCATCACAATCTCTTTAAATTGGTCCAAAATTATTCCAAATTGCCCTACCCCCTAATCTCATTTTGTCAATTTCACAATTTCAGTTTTTTAACCATAACTTCAGATTTTCGAACATAAACCACTCTGGAGATTTTGTTAAACGATGCACTAATGTCTCGTCTACAACACCTTTATAGTCGTTGTCCGTCACAATCTCTTTAAAATGGTATAACATTTACTATTAGTGTCCTACTCCCTACTCTCATTTAGTCAATTTCACAATTTCAATTTTTTAACCGTAACTTCAGATTTTCGATCATAAACCACTCTGGAGATTTTCCTAAACGATGTGCCAATGTCTTCCCTACAATATATATAGTCGTTGCCCGTCACAATCTCTTTAAATTGGTCCAAAATTTTCTTTTAGTGCCCTACCCCCCTAATCTCATTTTGTCAATTTCACAATTTCAGTTTTTTAACCGTAACTTCAGATTTTCGAACATAAACCACTCTGGAGATTTTCTTAAACGATGCGCCAATGTCTCCTCTACAACACCTATATAGTTGTTGTCCGTCACAATCTCTTAAAAATGGTCCAAAATTTTCTGTTAGTGCCCTACCCCCCTAATCTCGTTTTGTCAATTTCAGTTTTTTTTACCGTAACTTCAGATTTTCGAACATAAACCACTCTGGAGATTTTCCTAAACGATGCGGTAATGTCTCCTCTAAAACACCTATAGAGTCGTTACATGTAACAATCTATTCAAATTGGTCAAAAATTAACTTAAAATGTCCTATACCCTAATTTCATTTTGTTTATTTCAGTTTTTTCTACCACAATTTTAGATTTTTCGAACATAATCCACTCTGGAGATTTTCCTAAACGATGCGGCATTATCTCTTCTTAAACACCTATATAGTCGTAACCTGTCACAATCTCTATTAATCGGACCAAACAACGTAAAGTGCAACCCCATTCCCTAAAAATGCATTGTGTCAATGTGTTACCTTATGGTCATTGTAATCCAGCTGTCTATTGAATGCCTTATGTGGATTTATTTAGTTAGGAAAGAAAAGCTTTGTATTCTTTATATATGAAGTATGGTTTCCCTTTTGTTTTAAGTTAGTTTTTTCGTTTTTGTTTAAGATTGTATGTATTCTCATAATTGTTCGCTAGCTCGAAAAAACGTGATTGCCTTATGTGATATTGTGGTTTTTAGTTATACCTCCTAATTGTTCGCTTGCTTGAGTCATGTCATAAAATCTACTAGAATATTACGAATTGGAGTTAAACCCTTTCATGATTATTTTTGATGAACTGTTAGCGTTTTTTTTTTTTTTTTTTTTGGGGGGGGGGGGGGGGGGGTATTCTTAAAACAATAATGGATAAAAAAAACTGAGAACAAAACCGATAAACATTCAAAAGCTACAAATCATTTATTTGATCCTTAATTTAATGATGATTGCTGTATGGAGGGCCAATTGATTTGAGGGAAGGCTTGGATTCTTTTGTAAATATGATTTTAATCTTTATTAAATACATAAATAGCAATATCTCATCAGAGAAGCGATTCGGGCTCCATGGAATCTAGTTTTATTAACATTTGATGTTCGACTTTGGTTGTAAACTAATTGCAACTCAGATGATCCTTTGAAAGTTAGATTTTTAATGAGTTGGCATTGCAGTTTCAATTTTTTATCCATTTTGCATTCTGCTTTTGGAAAATATGTGTGTATTGCTGACGGAGACGGTGTAACCATAGATACTAGGCAATTTACAGACTACACGGATCAGCTAGGCTTTCGATCAGAAATAGTTTATGGGCGTCCTATGTCTGTAAAAATGGTGAAAACCCTGTTATAGTCACAATTTATCTTAAATCACAGGCAGGATGTGAATGAAACTTTTTAAGAGAAGCTTCAGAACGCATTGTCTTTGCGGACCTCGTATTTTATTTTATATTTTCGGTTTTAATTTGTTAGTTTATTCCAACTTTGTATCAAAAATTCATTTTGAACGAATGGTTGGATTTCAAGTTAAACTTCATAGAACTGTTATTTCTATAAGCATTATGCATCTTATCTTTTTCACGCCCAGACGTAGATTGCCTTAGCTAAATTTGACACAACTTTTCGGAATTTTCGTTTTTTATCCTCTTGAACTTCGTATTTGATTTGGTCTTCCAACTGATTTGATTCGAGCGACCAAGTTCCTTAAGATCCTTGAAAATATCGCCATCAATATAAGTAAATTAACCACTCATCGTCTAATCAAATGACTTGAATTTACCTTCACAAAGTTTCAATGTTTCTCTATATACTAATTAGCTGCATGGATGGGTCCTACTAAAAAGCGCCCGGGTGAAGAAAAAGCGCCCGGGGAAGAAAAAAAAGCGCCCGGGGAAAAGAAAAGGCGCCCGGGGAAAATATATAGATATTGTATTGGCATGAGACAACTTTGTGTCGATGAAATAAGTTATGCACATTGATTTTTTTTTTATTTTAGACAAGTATTATTACATATTCAGATAATAGACATTTGTAATAAAGCACAAAAACAAGTATGAATGTTTCAATTTTAACAATAATATATGAATACTATTTCGAAAGATAGATAATAATGGATCACAGTTTATGCTGAAGATTTATAAAATGTTAGACATCAAAAGATATGTTTTTCAAAAACGATATCAAAATGAAAAATGCAAAAACAACTTGAATTTCACAGATAAATATTAATTTTATAAAATTAAAAGAGTTACACATTATTTAAGAACGATAAAAGTGACACGCAAATGTATATCAACATCAGCAAATAAAACAATTATACTATGCATGTTAAAAGCAGGTGTTTGGTATAAAACAAATAACATTGAATCACCGATAAGCATTACAAATCGCATGCCGCGATTCAAACAGTTCTGGTTTTATAAAAAAAATTATAATAAATCAGCAAATAAAGCAGTACTATACATGTACCGTAGTTAAAACAAGGGGGTAAAAAGCAGGAGTTTGGTTTAAATTTAAAACTAAGCATTAAAACACTGATTAGCATAGCCATTAAAACAGTTTTAGTTTTATAAAAAGATATAATAAATCTATATCAGCATCTGCATATAAAACATTTACTATTGTTAAAAAAGCACTAAAAGTAAAAAGTAAATATCAAAACACTGATAAGCATAGCCATTAAAACAGTTTCAGTTTTATAAAAAGATATAATAAATGTATATCAGCAATGATTTTTTTTTTTTATTCAGGAAAACATTAATTGTTATAAAATATTATTATTTTATTCTCCCGGGCGCTTTTTCTTTTCCCCGGGGGCTTTTTCTTTTCCCGGGCGCTTTTTAGTAGGACCGGCATGGATGACAATAACAATAAGATTACATTGTACTGTGATCAAGGCATTAAGAACTATAATTTTTAACCGGATTTTCGAAGGAAATATCGGTTATTAAAATGGTGATGTACGGCGGGCGGCTTGGCGGATCTACGGGCGGCTGCTAAACAGTGTCAGCACAATAACATGAAAACGCTTTAACAAATTTTTTTCAAATTTAAATATGTTGTTTCCTGGGACTTAATGAAGGTCTAGTTAAATTTTCAAGATATTAGTATATCTCCTTTGTGAGTTATCGCCATTTTTAATATCCAAAAGTGGAATTTTAAAATATTTTACTCTTGTTATCTTTTTTATGACTAAGCATAATGTCTTATCTCACAATAAAAATTGGAGTGACAGATTTATTTGAAAATTATCTATTTCCTAAGTTCTAATGATTATAAGCTATATTATTAGACATTTTGAAGTTAATTACATTATTAATTATTAATTAGATCTGGGTTATATCTTAGCATATAATATCATTGGAGTGACAGATTTATTTGAAAATTTTCTGTTTCCTGATAAGATCTGTAGGACTGTATATATAAAGTTTGAAATTTACAACTAGGACTGTATAAATGAAATTTGAAATTTACTGTTCATTATTAGACATTTTGTAGATAATAAAGTCTCCCTAAACCATATATATTCTTACCACCACCCCCTTTCAATTTGAGAATGTGCTTTTATCTTGTAAACGGTTGAGATCCCAACCCTGAAACCATATATATTCTTGTATGTGACAACAAAACAAATCAAATGAAATAAAAGGCGAGTCCCCTGGAGTCACCCCCACCCCCTCCTGTTTGAGAACTTGTAAACGGTCGAGATCCCCACCCCTAAACCATATATATTCTTGTACGGGACAATAACACAAATCAAATGAAATATAGGGGGAGTCCATGGGGGTCACCCCCACCCCCCTTCTTTTTGAAAACTTGTAAACGGTCAAGATCCCCACCCCGAAATCATATATATTGTTGTATGGGACAATAAAACAAATCTAATGAAATAAAAGACGATTCCCCTGGGGTCACCCCACCCCATCCTGTTTAAGAACTTGTAAACCGTCGAGATCCCAACCCCTAAACCATATATATTCTTGAATGGGACAATAAAACAAATCAAATGAAATTGAGGGGGAGTCCCCTGGGGTCACACCCACCCCCTTTTTTTTTTGAAAACTTGTAAACGGTCAAAATCTCCACCCCGAAACCATATATATTCTTGTATGGGACAATCAAACAAATCAAATGAAATACAAGGCGAGTCCCCTGGGGTCACCCCCACCCCTCCTGTTTAAGAACTTGTAAACGGCCGAGATCCCTACCCCTAAACCATATATATTCTTGTATGGGACAATAACACAAATCAAATGAAATATAGGGGAAGTCCATGGGGTCACCCCCACTCCCTTTCTTTATGAAAACTTGTAAACGGTCAAGATCCACACCCTGAAACTATATATATTCTTGTATGGGACAATAAAACAAATCAAATAAAAAATAAAAGGCGAGTCCCCTGGGGTCACCCCCACCCGCTCCTGTTTGAGAACTTGTAAACGGTCGAGATCCCCACCCCTAAACCATATATATTCTTGTATGCAATAAAACAAATCAAATGAAATATAGGGGAAGTCCATGGGGGGTCACCCCACCCCCTTCTTTTTGATAACTTGTAAACTGTCTAGATCCCCACCCCTAAACCATATATTCTTGAATGGGACAATAAAACAAATCAAATGAAATTAAGAGGAAATCCCCTGGGGTAACCCCCACCCCCTTCTTTTTGAAAACTTGTAAACGGTCAAGATCCCCATGCGGAAACCATATATATTCTTGTATGGGAAAATAAAACAAATCAAATGAAATATAAGGCGAGTCCCCTGGGGTCACCCCCACCGCCTCCTGTTTAAGAACTTGTAAATGGTCAAGATCCCTACCCCTTAACCATATATATTCTTGTACAGGACAAAAAAACAAATCATATGAAATAAAGGGAGAGTCCCCTGGGGATCACCCCCTCCCCCTTTGAGAACTTGTAAACGGTCGAGATCTCCACCCCTAAACCATATAAATTCCTGTTCGTAATTTCAAGAAGATTTGAAAGACATACAGGGTCAATCCATAGGCGTCACTAATGCATATCATAAACCAATTTGTACTGGACATTGCCCAATTTTCTTCTTTTCTTTGGTAAATTGTTTGTAGAATTTTGTGGCAAGTTTGTTTGTTATTCTGTAAAAACTAATTTTCTGAATGCTATATATATATTTTTTTTGATGAAGTAAACTCCTTTAAAAACTAAGCTTATATTGTGTATTAATAAACATATATTTAGATTTCTGATTTTGGGCCCAGTGTTCAAGTTAGTCCAAATTGAGGTCCAAAATTAAACTGTATTTGATTTCAACATAAATTGAATATATATAGGGTTTTTTGAAATGCTTAATCTAAACCTGTATTTCTTTTCATTATTAATAAGATAATACCACATTGAGGTCCAAAGGGTCCTAAATTACACTTTTGATTAATTTCATCAAAAATTGAATTCTTTGGTTCTTTGATATGCTAATTCTAGCAATGTTTGAGTGTTAAATCATATCTAATTTTAGAGAACTTAGTCATCACTGGTTGTTGTTATTATATTATTGATTATAATTTGAAAAATTGCATCATATCTTATTTTAGAGAACTATTTATCCAGTTTGAGTTATTTCCCTTCGCACAGAAAATATTATGGATAAAATTAACCTGTGTTTCATTTCAACATAAATTAAATATATATAGGGTTCTTTCAAATGCTGAATCTAAACCTGTATTTAAATATTAGATTTTTGGGCCCAGTTTTCAAGTTGGTCCAAATCAGGGTCCAAAATTAAACTTTGTTTGATTCAACAAAAAAATTATTTATGGGGTTCTTTAAAATGCTGAATCTAACCATGTATTGAGAGATTTTGGATTGTGGGCTCCTTTATCAAATTGGTCCACATTGAGGTCCAAAGGGTCTTAAATTAAACTTTTGTCTGATTTCATCAAAAATTGAATTCTTGGGGTTCTTTGATATGCTGATTCTAATATGTACTTAGATTTTTGATATTGGACCATAATAGGTATTTAAATGTCCAATTTCGAGTATTTCAGTTCTTAAACCACATTCATTTTGTGTCACAAACCTATGCTGTGTCAAATATTCAATCACAATCCAAATTCAGAGCTGTTTTAAGCTTAAATGTAGTGTCCATACTTGCTCAACTGTTTAGGGTTCGACCTCTGCAGGAAAATCCGGTTTGCTGTCACTCTGACAGCCTCTTGTTATAAATATGAGGGAGCAGTCAAAAACCAAATACTAGACCCCACCAAAAAATGGGAGTACTTCACTAGTGTCACCTGTCATGTTGCTCATGAAAAGTAAAATTGGATAAGGTCATAAAGGAAGATGGGATTGTTGTGACAACAAATAAAATATCTGGGTCATCTGTCATAATTATGGTCTGGTGACTTAGATGCTTTTCAGTAGGTTGATATATATTTCCCTCTGACAAACATCACATATTTCAAAATTTGGCATTGAAAGGTAGTATAGGGGTCCTCCGCCATCTAGGATAATAAGATAGCAGAAAATAGTCGGTCCAGATTTCTAATGACATGCCTGTTAAACCTTCAAATCTCAACCAAATGGTTAAGTGAGAAAAAACTTTACCTGGCCTTCCTGTTTAGCTTTCTGTTATATAGATACAATGGATAAGCGTGGATTCTTGAAAAAGAAACCATGAGCCCGGAGGGCGAATGGTTTGTTTTTCATGAATCTACGCTTATCCATTGTATCTATAACTTAAACTATTGTGTTAATTTCTTTCAAAATTAAAGCCTTTTCTTAATTAGAAGGTATTGTAAGTGAGTTTAAATAACCATGTTATCGTGTCCAACGATGCATTGATAAATCTCAGATCACAATTAATTGGTTAACAAAATACAAATATAACACTTCTCCCTTTAAAGATCTTTATATTACCAGGCATATGAATATTATCTGTTTATACAAAATAAGACATATTCGAAATTATTTCTAATAAAATTGAAAATGGAAATGGGGAACGTGTCAAAGAGACAACAACCCGACCAAAAAGCATATATAAAGTATATATAATAAGTATGTTATCGAAACTTTTCTAACACTCTAGGCACATCACGATTTTCTCGCATAGGAATTTGCGAACAAACCTTTGTAAAATTATGTAGTAAAACAGATGAAATCATACTATATTTATAAAACAAAAATTGACAAATAGAATGTAATCATTTTTGTTTCAAACATGTGAAATAGCCGATAATAATATATAAAAAAAACGGTAAAACTCGCTATTATTACAAAAATATCCGCTATAACTTGCAAAATTAGAAAAAAACAAGGATAGCTTAAGAATTGGAACAACAGAGAGAATACAGGGATTCGAACCTAAACCGACAAATCCCGATCTTTAACGCATTGATTTTAACCATGCTAACCTCGCGGCTACCAACTCATACTATACGACTGCCTATTGTGTCTATATAAAGGTACAAGCCCTGTGTGTCCTATGAACCGATGTATATCAGATGTTCATTTAAATATATAAAATAAACATCTATAGTGTAACCCATTGGTAGCCGAGAGGTTTCGTCGGTGTGTTGATGTCAGTCACACATAACAGATTTCAAGGAAGGGTTCGATTCCCAGTGAAGGCATATAAAAATTACAAAAATTAAAGGTAAGTTTTTAAATTAATTCCATTAGTGAACAGAAATCAGTAAATTAGCCAATTCAAACTTAATGAAATTAGGCACACAAAGGAAACAATTGAATATAATTTGGTGAGTCAATTTCAGCGGCAGATTTAGGAAGCGTTGATTCTAGAAAAAGAATCCACGGTAAATGAATAGGCTGACGTCACCACAATGGTTTAAGGTATAAGATATAAAAAATATAAATGGGATAGGTCGACTTTTCATCAATTTATTGTCAGTCTTGGAATTTTTTTGTTAAATAGGAGAATGTCATGCTATAAAAACTAAATCAAAGCTTGTCTTGTCTATTACTTAGACCAATGTAATATAAAATGACAAAATGACATCGGGATGATTTTTCTCCCACAGGTAAGTGTGGCCAGCACAGTAAGTTAGCTTTGATATTTAACTTTAAGGGGGTGGGGGGGGGGGGGGGTTATGGTTTTTTGTCTGAGTCAGAATTCTTTTTTAGTTTTTCAATGCTATCAATCAAATTATTTTTTTCAAAATTTAACACTATAAGTTATGGGGAAAATCTGCTTGACCACAACATTTTTTTTCATCAAAATGGGGATCAGAATATTTTTTTAGGAAAAAACCATAACCCCCCCTCTTGAAGTTAAATGGTCGTTCCCTTATTGAATAATGCGCCCATGGCGCAGCTGTTTAATATAGTTTGTTCTTATGTTGAACTGTTACTTCACTATCCCAGGTTAGGGGAGGGTTGGCGCGCCTTCAAACTAGTTTTACCCCGCCACATTCTGTAATGTGCCTGTCCCAAGTCAGGAGCCTGTAATTCAGTGGTTGTCGTTTGTTGCTGTATATCATATTTGTTTTTCGTTCATTATTTTGTACATAAATCAGGCCGTTAGTTTTCTCGTTTGAATTGTTTTACATTTGTCATTTCGGGGCCTTTTATAGCTGACTATGCGGTATGGCTTTTACTCACTGTTGAAGGCCGTACGGTGACCTATAGTTGTTAATTTCTGGTCATTTGGTCTCTGGTGGAGAGTTGTCTCATTGGCAATCATACCGCATCATCTTATTTTTATATTATGGTATAGCTTTGATTAAAACTAGTATTTGTAAATTATATTTCTCTGATTTTTTTGGTCTGAAGTTAGAACTAAATAGAACCAGAAAAGAAGAAGAAGAAAGTCAACACAATTTCCAGCAACTTTTGAGAACTGACCATCAAAATTTGGTTGCCAATACTGACAATTTTGAATGTCCAATATGCTTTGACAGAATTACATCTGGAGGTGGTGTTATCCTTAGAGAATGTTTGCATAGTTTCTGTAGGTAAGATCAGAAATCAATATTATGTAGGACATGTGTAAACATAGCAAATACTTTTTGAAAAGAAATCAATTGTCTTAAACTTTAAATGATCAGAGGAAGCTTGGATAAAACTGACATTGTATTGCTGATTTTGTATTTTTACGTTTATAAATTACTTTAAAACGTGTGCCCAAAGACAGAATATGATGAGATCAATAGACTATATTCAAATAACCTACTTCTGACTTGCGGAGTATATAATTGTTCGACATGTTACATACTCTGTGGTAGGACATTCTGATACTCGGTCAAACAAGAATTAAAATCAAGCTGACAATCGGTGCAATTTGGGGGAACAATTTTATCGTGTATAGAAAACATAAAACAGTTAACACCCCATCCCATTTGCACATATGGAAAGCTTGATTTTAGTTGCTCTTATTTGACTGAGTACCAGAATGTCCCATCAAATACCCATACCGTAAAGTCAGTTTTAATCAGTTTATATTCAAAGGATAAACAAGTGTACCTGGATCGTATTTAAAGGTACCGGTTTTATAAACAACATTAACGTAAAAATTTGGGTGTGATATCACTGATAGGAGTTTTCGCCATTGAAAGATATTTTTTTTTTCCATTTTTGCAGTTTTTGCACAAAATAATAGAAAGAAAGGAACAGTAAATAAAATGTTCAGCACAATAAAATTTACAACTCAGTCATCATGGCCCAAATTGTCAACCGACTCCTTCAATTAAAAAGCAATTTTCAATGTTCAGTTTTCTGCTTAAGTTAGTTTGACAGGATCTACTTGTGATAGATCAATGATATTTTCTATAAAGTTGCATTACTATCAGATCATATCAACGACTATTGTGAGGTCCTGCCCCCTAGGTCATGGTCCAGCGACTCAATTAATTCTCAATTTTCAATTTTAAGTTTTCTGCTTAAGTTAGTTTGATAGGAACTACTTACGATAGACAACTATATTTTCTATAAAGTTACATTACAGTCAGTATATCTCAGTTTGTCGACCATTTCGAGGCCCTGTCCACTAGTTCATGGTCCAGCGACTTTGAATTAATTAGCAATGTTGCTGTCCATCAAATTGTCTTTTTCTGATTTTTTTTTGCCGACATGCGAGACATATCTCTTTATCAACAGTTTATTATAATAACTGATTGCAATAAATGGGGGGAAATGGCATATGTTTTACCAGGTGAGCGATTCAGGCTCTTGGAAGCCTATTGTTTAATTTACACAAATACAATAGGATATAATGAATGGAAAATGTTCTACATTACATTACAAATAAAATAAAATACAGAGTAGTACATGTACCAAGAGGTCACCCACGACCCCCCACCATTTGAAATTGTTCCAATGTCTTTAAAATGGTTGAGATTCCCATCTCTAAAACACATATTTTTTTGTTTCTCATAATGTCATGCAAATACGGATAGTGTGCTATTAAAATTTGTTGTTACAAAATTTTGGAAATTATCTTAAATTAAGTACTAGTAATATATCTCCCTCATGCAAAGCTCTGATTCCTTTCCTGGCTTTTGCTATTCTTGTTTTCCTTTTTGGCTTATAATATCTTCTTCTTTTTTTTAATAAGTTTTGGTTTTTCAAATATTTTAGTTTCAAGCATCACTGAAGAGACATTAATTGTCGAAATGCGCATCTGGTGCAGAAAAATTGGTACAGTTAATGTTACTAATTTACATATAAAGAGTGAGGGGTCATTTTGATCTTAACATCATCGGGAAAGTGTGAACTATTAATTATATGGTCAAGTTCAGTTGTTCCGTCAATTTTCAGATGTATGTACTGCGGTAAATACAGAACTGGTCAGACATTTCGCTTGCAGTCAATTCATTATTTTTCAGACAATTCAGTATGTTTTTGATGTGTACAAGAAAATAAAAATTATCACAATCGCACGAAGCTTTATTCACTATACCCCTTTCAAAGGGATAGTGAATAAAGCTTCGCGCGATTGTGATAAGTTTCCAAACTTCACTCTCTGTACAACTTATGTTTGTAAACCACTGCCTCAAACCCCCATTCAAACCAATACAAACTTGTAGCCATCTTCGCTAGCCAAGGGTTACGATCCAGTCCCCTCCTCTCCACCCTTGGCGGATTAAGATAGAATTTCGGATCCACGAGGTAATGATTTCCATTGGTTGCAGTTGTAACTGGCTGCATCCAATTTAAAAGCGCCTTTAAGATGATCACGTGTAAATGTGGAAAATGTAAATAAACAATTGCCACGTGCAGATTGTGCAACAAGTCTTTACCCTCAAAACATAGGACGATATGTAGTGACAATTTTAAAGTTCTAAACTAATTAAAGTTCGTGGGTATGTTTCTAGAGCATGTCAACGTATATTTTCAGTTCCTGCTTCACGAAATTTGTAAACACTACATACAACCATTTTTATACGACCGCAAAAAAATTTTTGTGGTCGTATATTGGTATGACGTTGGCGTCGTCGTCGTCCGGCGTCGTCGTCGTCGTCGTCCGAAGACACATTAGTTTTCGCACTCTAACTTTAGTTTAAGTGAATGGATCTCAATGAAATTTTACCATAAGGTTCAATACCACAAAAGGAAGGTGGGGATTGATTTTGGGGGTTATGGTACCCACAGTTAAGGAATTAGGGGCCAAAAAGGGGCAAAAAATAAGCATTTTTGTAACTTCCAGACATAACTTGTGTGTAAGTGATATTGTACCACAAGGTTCCATATCACAAAGGGAATGCTGGGATTGATTTTGGGGGTAATTGCCTCCAAATTTTAGGAATTAGGGGCCAAAAAGGGGCAAAAAACAAGCATTTTTCTAGTTTCATGACAATAACTTGTGTGTTAGTGTATGGATCTCTCTGACATTGTATCACAAGGTTCCATATCACAAAGGGAATGCTGGGATTGATTTTGGGGGTAATTGCCTCCAAATTTTAGGAATTAGGGGCCAAAAAGGGGCAAAAAACAAGCATTTTTCTAGTTTCATGACAATAACTTGTGTGTAAGTGTATGGATCTTTATCAAATTGTACTACAAGGTTCCATATCACAAAGGGAAAGCTGGAATGGAGTTTGGGGGTAATTGCCCAAAGCGTTTAGGAATAAGGGGCCAAAAATAAGCATTTTTCTAGTTTCCAGACAATAACTTGTGTTCAAATGTATGGATCTCTCTGAAATTGTACTACAAGGTACCATATTACAAAGGGAAGGCTGGGATTGATTTTGGTGGTAATTCCCTAAAAATTTTAGTATTTAGGGGCCATAAAAGGGCAAAAAATCAAGCATTTTTCTAGTTATAGGACAATAACTTGTGTGTAAGTGTATGGATCTTTATGAAATTGTACTGCAAGGTTCCATATCACAAAGGGAAAGCTGGGTTTGAGTTTTGGGGTAATTGCCCTAAACATTTAGGAATTTGGGGCCAAAAAGGGGCCAAAAAACAAGCATTTTTCTAGTTTCCAGACAATAACTTGTGTTCAAGTGTATGGATCTCTCTGAAATTGTACTGCAAGGTACCATACCACAAAGGGAAAGCTGGGATTGAGTTTGGGGGTGATGAATCATAAGGGGGTTCACAAATGTTGGCTTTATCTGCCAAAGGTGGAGAGGAGGGGACTGGATCGTAACCCTTGGCTAGCGAAGATGACTCGTATATTGCCAGGCACAGAGTTTTCATACCTGTTCGTTTGGAAATGATGCAAAGGAGAAAAGCAAATAATTTCTTAAACTTTCCTTTGTCAACAAAGGTCCGGATGCCATCAACTTTAACAATGTCCTTCAACATAAATCAGTTTACTCGAAAATAGCTCCCTACTTTAAAGATCAATATGTACCAATCATCTCTTATATACCTATACCAAACTAATTACGACTAAACTTTTCAATTATAAACCGGATTGCAGGATCTCAATATTGACCACTTCACGTCTAAATCTCCTGCAGGGGCAGATTCAGGCGGGGGCGAGGCGGGCGTGCGCCCTCCTAAAATTTGTAAAGCATCGGTTGTCCTCAGCTTAATAAAGAATATTTCGAAAATTTTACCTCCAAAAAATTTTCACCACGCTCCGCTCGGCGAAAATTTATGTTTGCGCCCCACCTAACCTAAAATCCTGGATCCGCCCTTGTCCTGGTTCCACATGTGCTAGTTCCCCCATTCTTATATAATCCGGCTGGCCACGTAATTACTGGTGACCTGAATTAATGTCATTGACACTTCTTTGCGAAAGGTGTTACCTAAAGACCCGAAATACCGTGAGCCTAAATCCATCAATTGGAAACCCAACTTCAAAATACTGATTGATTCAGTCGAGGATTTTGCCAGGCAATGGACTAAATGCAAAAAAGAAAACGTTGATACTCTCTCCGAATGGGTAAAGGCTGTGAGGTCATTAATACAAATTAGAATTAAAAAAACTGAATGGGTCTATGAATACACATGTACATCGATCTTTAAAGACCCGAATATTGCTAAGCACCTGTCCTACCTCTATAATAAATATTCCGGTATGTTTTTGTCCTCGCAGATAAATCCCCAATTTGTGTGTAAATTACAATACATAAACTGCCCGTTTCGTTTTTAGGATACTCGACCGAAGAATAGGGTAACACCAGCAATTGATTCACTGAAAGGACAAGGTACGATAAGGGGCGTTTTTGGTCCGCTTTCCAAATAAGTTTATATTAATATCATTGATGGTCTTAGTATAGAAACTTGAAAAAACAATGATTTTATTGTGTTCCGGTGAAAGGAAGGTTGCCTAGCAACGGTTTTTATTAAATATCAAAATGATCACATATTAATTGCTTTATCAGTACAAATTAGATCAATTCCAAAAAACATTGTTTGTTTAAGAAGAACTTGAAGTTACATATGAATAGTCCCTTTGATTTCGTTGATATTCTTAAAAACAACCTAGCAACAGAAATGTTGCCTAGCAACGGTTCAAAAATGGGTGTTTTCCCCCTCTGATGTATGAATTTAGCAGTTGTTT